TGTCAGCACCACGCTCAGCCAGTGAGCTAACCGGCCATCCCTATATAGGGATCCGAACCTGCGGTCTTGGTGTTATCAGCACCGCAGTCTCCCTAGTGAGCCACGGGCTGGCCCTCTAAGAATGCTCTTTGGGTGAGGCTGCTTTGACAGAGACCCCAAGGCATCAGTCGTTTAGCAGAATATCCTCCTTTTCAAACAAGTGAATGAAGCAGATGGAAGGGAACTTTGGAATTGTACATAGTTTTTATTTGTTTGGTGGGATTTGTTTTGATTCTTTTATCCAGGCTGGGCATTCACCTACAGTGTCTTGTGCTAACACCAGATTTTCCTCTCTGCACCCCCTGCCTATACTTCAGTTTTTTTCCAGGCCATTATTGTAGTAAGTGAAATGAATATCTCATGGTGAAAAACTCCTATGGAAATAAAGTTGCTATCAGTGGTAGATCTCCTGGGGAAGAAGAGATGGTCATCTCATCCTGGGGGTTTAGTCACTAATTTGCCTCATGGCTGTGCTCAGGATCAAATAATTCCTCAAGTTGCAAGTCCAGACTTTACAATCTATGATTCCACAACTGTTCAATGCAGATGTGGAATTCTAAGATCTAGTTATGAGTCTAGTTATTGATTGCAGTCCTGTGGTTAAATGACAACCAGCATTCTAGAACTGGTGGTCCAGAGACCTCCTCTTTTTCTTTCTTTCCTTTTTTTTTCGGGGGGGAGGTGGCTGGCCCGTACAGAGATCAAACTCTGGACCTTGGTGTTATCAGCAAGCACCACACTGTAACCAACTGAGCTAACCAGTCAGTCCCAGAGGCCTTCTTTAAACATCTTTTCATCTCAGGGGCTTAGTCACTTAATAAAGCAGAAATTACCTCCTGGTCTTCCAATATTTGAAGGTCACAAGTATGTTTACTTTTTACTTAATGTGCGTAATAAAAGCTTGTTGGCAAGGCTTTTAAAGAGTTTTGGTCTTGAAGTATTCTTTCATTCACCCATTCAATAAATATTTATGAAGTGCCTCCTACGGGCCAGACATTGTTCCAGGCTGGAGATACAACAATGAGCAAAACATATATAAATACCTGCCATCGTGGAAATTAAATTGTGTTCATTATATGTCAGAAAGTGATGAGTGCTGTGTTGATAAAACACTGCAGGGAAGTGGCCCAGGAATGCCAGGGGCTGCCGTTTTGAAGAGGATGGTCAAGGTAGGACTCGGAAGTGAATGGAGCAGGCGGGAGGGCAGGGCCACAGGCTCAGGCTTCCCTGACTACCAGGAGAAGACCAGCGCAAAGCATGAGTCTGCTTCAAAGACCACAATTCAGATTCAACAAACACTTTAAAATCTTTGATGCTCCAGAGTCTTCTATGCTCCATACTTTCTTGAATCACTGGTGCAGTTGATATCTTTGTTACTTATAGTTGAGGACACAGGGCTTCAGAGCATTTAAGTGACCTGAGCAAGGATGCAGAGCTGGTGAGGGACAGAGCCTGGACTCCAACCCTGTCTTCTGATTCTTTGAGGCTGGTGGAGTTTGCCACTGTGCCGTGGCCTGCACATTTCTTCACTCTGTGGATATTTATTCATCCCTCAGCATGTTTAAAAGCATCTGGGGTGTAGTGAACAGCCTGACTTTGCCAATTACTTAAGCTCTTTGAATTTCCTTTCTCCACTATAAAGCAGTAGGACCGTAACTCTCACTTCACAGGTTTGTGGTAAAGATTAAATAAACAAATTTGCCAACAGCATTCTTCAGGGGATCCACAAATGTCAGGTCCTTTCTTCCCCAAGAGACTGGGCTGACCTAAGGGCTGTGTACTGTGGTCTTAACCAGTGAGAGTCTGGGCCTGGAAGCCCAGAATGTGTGTTCAAATTCTGTCTCAACTTATTACTTGCTGGGTGTAATTGAGAAGATTACTTAACCACTCTGAACCTTGTTTCCTCATCTATAGAGCTGAATGAATAGTAAATAGTTCTTAACCTCAAAGGGAAAAGTGAATGAGTTAATATACGCCCTTAACTTATAGGACCTGTCTGTCTCCTAGTAAGTGATCAAGAAAAGTTGATGGTGGCTATTGCTGTGGCACTGTGCCCATGTCACTTTTCCTCCATGAAATTAAAGTTTCTCAGCTGTAAAATATCGAAGGATGACAGTTTCTAAGGAAGCTTGTGGGGAGTTGGGAGATGAATCACTGCAGAATAGAATCCAGAAAGAGAATATCTGTGAGGTGACTGGCCAAGTGTCTGGCCCGAAGAAGGCACCCACCTAAGTGATGGCTGTGACTGCTGTTGCTGCCATGGGGAACAGAGACCGGAGCTGCAGAGTACAGGGGGGCCTGATCATTCTGCCTTCCTCTCTCTCCCCAGCCTTGACTCCCCTCAGGCACTTGGGTTTCTCTATTACTCTCACCCCCTTCTTGTCCTACTCATATTTCTTTCAAGAACTCAGTGCCCCAGCCCCAGTTCTCCTTGCTGGCAGGGCGGTGGGTGGATCACGGTTTGCCATGATAGGGAACAGGCCCAGGTTCTGGTGGCCGCCTTGAGCTAACAGAGACTGGAAATCTCAGTTAGGAAACACCACACTCTCTCTCTCACTCTTTGGTGATCTCTTGGCTCTCACACTCCTGGCTAGAAACCAGAGACATCTCCTCTTTCTCCATTGGCTGTCTTTACATGGAATTACGGCCCATATCTGTCCATTGATAGGGGTGTTTTCCCTCACACCCTGTTCTCAAACATAGTCAGTTACTCCCAGAATCCAGCTGACTCGTCCACTCCTGTCAAGACCCC